AGCACAGACGCAGAGGCGAGCGAAAAAAGTTTAAGGGCCGCCATGTTTTCAGTGTTGAAGTTGAATATGTGAACGAGAAAACGGGAAGAACGGCGAAAGTTTTGAGGGGCTTCAAACACAGAAGTATCAATATGCTATGCAGTGTGCGTGCAGGAGGTGGCGAGGGAGCGGACTGCGACAGGCCCATAGGGTCAGTGGGGTCATTCTGCTTAAGCGCTGGAGTTTAGCTTACCACCCTGTTGTTGTTAAAAATACTTCAATGAGGTATTTCAATAATTATTGTCTACACAATGCCCCATGCCGCCGCTCAACGCGACGTGAAACGCCAGCGGAAAATCCCTGGCATTCTGGCTGAATCGGCGATGCGGATTGTCGTGGTCTCCCGTGCTCGATTTATGTTGTTCTGTCTACCTATCACCTCCTTATAAGGTAACTGAGCGATTTATGAACTTTATTAGTATAAATTGTCTTGAAACTGCTGCTCTTCGCTCTTCCGGCCATGGTCCAGTGCGTTGCATGGTGTCCCTTTTGACGCGGGCGAGTTGCCCTGCGTCGATGCTCACAAGGCTTCTGCGCCAGAATATAGAAAGGGATAATGCTACTGGCGGCCACCCTCCTATCGAACTCTTCAGCTTCAACTCTGTATCTCGCCTGCATAAAATGCGCGAACTACGGCTGCCGCTAGACTTACTGCTCTCGTCCTCAACACGCACACATGCAGGGCTGTATGCACGCACAGATGTGCAGGAACAACTGCCCAAGCATGCAGTGACGCACAAAGCGCTGGATGGGTAACCGGAGAGTCATAGTGCAGGTCAATTAAACCAGTGAAAAGGAAGCAGTACGCAGGATTCCTGTCGGCGCAAAGAGAGCGACCGAGAGAGGCAAGCATTTGCTGCCCATATAAATAGAAAAGGGCTGAGAAGGCTTGTCAATTAGTGGCGCATCCAACGCAAATCCAACAGGCGCAAGCAGGTCTATAGAGGGCGTGTGTTGAGAGCTTTCGATGGCCGCAGTCCTATGCATGCAGCGGAAAGCGAACACTTGCTTAGGCTGTACACGCCAGTCAGAGTGTCTATTCTGAAGGTAGGAAAAAGTAAATAAGACACTGCGGTGAGCGGCTTTGCCTGAATAGTATCGGCAGCCGCCGGGTGCCAAGGAGAGGCAACTGCCTTAAAGGGCCAACAAGCCAACGGCCGCAACAACAACGGCCAGCAGACTCGGGGCAACAGCAGAGGCAGAACCTGTGATAGATGCCTTGATCTTGTTCCACTGCTCGTCCCTGCGTGCAATACGCCAGCAGACGAATAACAGGCAAAGCTGTATTCGCACCTGCAGGCCTAGCAATCTACGCAGCTCTCACTTTCCATGAAGTGGTTGCCAACTTACGTGAAGGGAGCTTCGTCGTCTTCAAGTGCTTCAGGTGTTGTCATGCACAGTAGAGCATAGCCTTTCTTCTCTTCCGCAGTACTCCGGAAGTTGGATTGTGAGTTGTCGGAAGCTCCCGGTCGAGTGCAGGTAACGACTCGGCAGTCAGCAGCGGCATTTTCTGAAGGGTTGTACAGAGCGATAAGGGAAACGTTCTGCTGTTTGGCGTAGAGTTCTGGTTCTTTATTCTTCGGCGGAGGGATTGTAGTGAAGTTGCTGACGGCGTCCTTCCAGTGCTTCACTGCGGCGGCACAGTCGGGCGTCGCCGATTCCAAGGCCATGAAGGCGTATGTGCCACTTTCAAATCCATTTTCCTCTAATTCGCCTCCTTGTTGTTCTGTGTCTTCCTGAAATGAAAAATGCACGGATCAAAAAATGCGACAACCTGTACTAGATGTAGGAAGATTGAGGATGAAGGCTGCAATGAAAGACACCTACTGCAATCAGAGCGTCACAAACAGGCTTCCAGGGACTAGCTTGCGAAGATTCGGGTTCCTCTATATCAGTCTTAGGCCACTGGTGTTGCTCTTCCTTGGCCACTTGGAAGTGCGCGAGTCCAGCGGCTTCGCGTGCAGCGTTGATTTCAGCGAGGCACTCTCCCGTATTCCCTACAGAAAAACGAACGACGCAGACATCCTAAGCCCAAATGTACAAGTATTGATACTTGCAAAGTGTGTTGCGGCCATTTAATGCCATTCGAAGTACTTCCTTTTGCGCCACTGACCCTCCGGGACAACTCATCTCCTCCAGTGCAATTGGTTTGGAACATCACAAGGCTGAAACCCTCCACAGCAAACAAGTATTTGCCGACATACCAAGATTTACAGTGTAGGTTGCGGTTACTGCTTTCGTTGTCAATGGACTTTCCTTTGCGGTTTGATGGACAGCGTTAGCCATCACGAGCACAGACGCAGAGGCGAGCGAAAAAAGTTTGAGGGCCGCCATGTTTGCAGTGTCGAAGTTGAATATGTGAAAGAGAAAACCGGAAGAGTGGGGAAAGTTTTGGGGGCCCTCAACTACAGATGTAACAATATGTTATGCATTGTGTGTGCGGCGAGGGAGCGACTCCGGCTGTGCCATCCGGTCAGTGGGGTCATTCTGCTTATTCGCTGGAGTTGAGTTTACGACTTTTTCGTTGCTAAAAATACTTGAATGAGGTATTTCAACAATTTTTGTCTACACAGTGCCCCATTCCGCCGCTCAGCGCGACGTGAAACGCCAGCGGAAAACCCCAGGCATTCTGGCTGAATAGGCGATGCCGATTGTCAAGGTCCCTCGAGCTCGATTAATGTTGTTCTGTCAATGTACCAACTCCTTATAAGGTAGTTGAGCCATTGACGAAATTTATTAGTATGTGTTGCCTTGAAAGTATGGCTCTGCGCCCTCCTGGCCGTGGCCCAGGAGATGTATGGTGGTATGCTACCCCTTCATCGGGGAGAGTTGCCCGGCGTCGATGCTCTCAAGGCTTCTGCGTCGGAATATAAAAAGGGGAAAATCTACAGGCGGCCACCCTCCTATCAAACACTTCAGCTTCCCTTCTCTACTTCCCCGGCCTACAAAGTGAGAACTGCTACTCGTCGCTAGACTTACTGCTCGTCCGCAACACGCGTGCATTCAGGGCTTTATGCACACACAGATGTGTGGAAACACCTGCGCAAGCATGCAGCGACTCACGATGTGCTGGATAGACAATGGGAGAGGCACTATGCAGCTCAATTCTAAAAGAAAAAACGAGGGAGTACGTGGGACTCCTGCCAGTGCAACAAAAGCAGCCGATAGAGGCAGGCATTTGCTGCCCATAGAAATGAAAAGTGTTGATAATGCCTGTCAACTAGTGGCGCATGCAGCGCAAATCCAACAGGTGCAAGCAGGTGTATACAGGGTGTGCGTTGAAAGCTTTCGATTGCCGCAGTCAAACACCTGTTTAAGCTGTGCACGCCATTCAGAGTGTCTGTTCTGAAGGAAGGAAAATATAAATAATACACTGCGGAGCGCTGCTTTGGTTGAATAGTATCTGCACCAGTCGGGTGCCACGGAGAGATCACTGCTTTAAAGGGTAACCAAGCCAAGGGCCGCAATGGTTACGGCGAGCAAACTCGGGGCGACAGCAGAGGCAGAACCTGTTAGGGATGTCTTGATCTTATTCCACTGCTCTTCCCTGTGTGCAGCATACCAGCAGACGAATAACAGACAAAACTGCATTCGCATCCACAGACGTAGCCATCTACACAAGTACCGTTTTGCAGGAATTGGTTGCCAGCTTACGTGAAAGGTGCTTCGTCGTCTTTAAGTGCTTCAGGCGTGGTCATGCACAGTAGAGCATAGCCCTTCTTGTCTTGCGCAGCATTTCGGATGTTGAACGTTGACTGGTCGGAAGTTGCTGGTAGAGTGCAGGTAACAACCCGGCAGTCAGCAGCGGCATCGTTGGAAGGGTTGTACAGAGCAATAAAGGAAACGTTCTGCTGTTTGTCGTAGAGTTTTAGCTCGTTATTCTTCGCCGGAGGGATTGTAGTGAAGTTGCTGGCGGCGTCCTTCCAGTGCTTCACTGCGGCGGCGCAGTCGGGTGTCCCTGATTCCAAGGCCATGAAGGCGTATGTGCCACTTTTAAATCCATTTGCTTCGGGGACCTCTTCTGGTTCTTCTGCTTCTTCCTGAGATGGAGACGCACCGATACAAAAGATAAATAAGTGAGACAACATGTAGTAGGGACAGGAAAACTGAATACGGGGCCTGCAATGAAAGACACGTACCGCTATCAGGGCGTCACAAACAGGTTTCCAGGCACTCGTTTGCGGGGAGCCAACTTCCTGTGCTTCAGCATTAGGCAACTGATGCTCTTCTTTAGTGGCCTCTTTGAAGTGTGCGAGTCCAGCGGCTTCGCGTGCATTGTTGATTTCGTCGAGGCATACAGGAGCACTCCCTGCGGAAAAACGAACGATGCAGACATCCTAAGCCCAAATTTAAAAATACTTTCAAAAGTGTGTTGCAGCAATTTAATGCCATTCGAAGGACTTCTTTTTTTCCAAGCGCCACCGACCCTCCGGCGCAACTCACCGCTTCCAATGCAATTGGTTTGGACCGCCACAAGACTGAAACCCTCCCCAGCAAACAAGTATTCGCAGACATACCAAGAGTTACAGTGTAGGTTGCGGCTCCTGCTCTCGTTGTCAATGGACTTTGCTTTGCGTTTTGATGGACAGCGTTAGCCATCACGAGCACAGACGCAGAGGCGAGCGAAAAAAGTTTGAGGGCCGCCATGTTTATAGTGTTGAAATTGAATGTGTCAAAGAGAAAAAGAGAAGAAAGGGGGAAAATTTGAGCGGCTTCAAATGCAGACGTACCAATATGCTGTGCAGTGTGTGTGCAGGAGGAGGCGGCGAGGGAGCGGACTAGGACTGGGCCACACGGTCCGGCGTGGGGTCATTTTGCTTACTCGCTGAAGATTAGTTTACGACCTTGTCGTTGTTAAAAATACTTGAATGAGGTATTTCAATAATTATTCTCTACTCATTGCCCCCTACTGCCGCTCAACGCGACGTGAAACCCCAGCGGGAAGCCCTTTCCGTTCTGGGTGGATCCGGGATGCTAAGGATCGATGTCCCTCGTTCTCGATTAATGTTGTTCTGTCAATGTACCAACTCCTTATAAGGTAGTTGAGCCATTTAAAAAGTATATTAGTATGTGTTGCCTTGAAACTGTGGCTCTGCGCCCTCCTGGCCGTGGCCCAGGAGATGTATGGTGCTATGCTGCCCCTTCATCGGGGAGAGTTACCCTGTGTCGATGCTCTCAAGACTTCTGCGCCGGAATATAAAAAGGGGAAAATCTACAGGCGGCCACCCTCCTATCAAACGCCTCAACTTCCCTTCTCTACTTCCCCAGCCTACAAAGTGCGAACTGCTACTCGTCGCTAGACTTACTGCT